TCGTATGGATAAAAGCATATTACTGCTACTACCAATAATTTACAAATTATAATATTTAAATTTCTCCATATTTTAAATAAAAGAATATAATTCTATGAAAGCTATTATCGATATAAAATCAAATCTATATATTTTTTCTACACGAAAGACTAGTTAAAAACTTCATTTGGTCAAACATTCACAGCTTGTATCACAAAAACTCTTCCTATTTGTGACCGACGATACAAAAAAAAAAAAAAAAAAAATTCTGTAAACACCATTTTCCGTACCTCTACATCGAATTTTTTAATGCAATGCGTAAACGACGAATATTTTTATGATCCCGCATAGCGGTGACACCATGGGCTTTTATAAAAACATCTAAAACTTTTATTATCCCGCTATCTAGCTTTATTTCAGATTCATCCGCGTGATTATCGTACAGCTTGGGTTCCTGCATAATACTAAAGTACTCGTGCAGAAAAAACGAGGTGTCGGGTTATTGTTTTTATTCACCTCTTCTATGTTCTTATGCGCATCAACTCTCAGGCTACTCCTCGACAACTATGTAACGCAACTCTGGATGAAATATATTTTCCTGGAAGTGGAATATAAAGTAGACGTGAGTCGCCGTTTCATGGTGGAAGCTGAGTAGCAAAGGGTAATGTGAACGTAGCTTAAGGTAACTAAATAAACGATATTAACTTCCACCTCGTAAAACTCCATAAAAAAAAGTGAGGACTACACTGGTCGAGTAATGATGTCTCGATATAAGATAATACCTATGAAAATAAATCAGTAACCGTTGACCATTACAGTATTTCATAGTTCTTTGTATCTGGGAAGAGTGAAATAGAATAGGAGAATAGTATAATAGTCTACTATCGATTTCCAATTTATTCGGAAGATTATTTTTTGTAGTAATGAAATCAATAATTACTTCGAACAATTACTTTTAATTCTGCACTTCGTTTAATTCTTACTAAAATAAACATTATAAAAACGACCTGTTGAGTCTCTTAATATTAATCTATTATAATCTATCGAACTTCATTTTTAATTGAGATAAGCATTTTACTTGCAGGACTACGAATTACATCGTATGTCATTATGCATTTCTTAATATTTCTTCAAATTCATGATAAATAAATAACAAATGAAATAGTTCTTATATTTTATTTTAATTGAGTTGCGTTCATTCATATTCAATTCAAAATAAATTATATTTATTTCCATTTATTTATTTATTTAATCTAATTCAAATTCAAAGAATTATATTTTTATCGTTGTATTAAAAAAAATCTCTAAACTTTACGATAGAGTATACAAATGATAATTCATTAAGTAAATGTAAATGTAAATTATATTAATGATTAAACTCATATTATTTCATGTTATTACCGAATGATTAATGTAACTCATGAAATACACTTCAATAAGTAAATATTCGATATAAATGCAATTATAAATGATAAATTTAAAATTTGGTCATACGTTTACTTTGGAATAAAAAAATGAAGAAAATTGGACATAAATTATTATAAGCAGCAATAGAATAAATGCTTGATGAATATAATAGTTGAGCAATCCTCACGGACTATAGATTCAACCTCACTTAATCGAGAGTATGGCTCGATAGTGAAGATAATTGCACATAATCACTTAAACTCGAATATCCCAATTCGAGAAGCTATTGCACCTTAAAGTAGATCTTAATTAATTTGCGAATACAGTGCTTGTCTGCAGCGTAATAAGGTTGTTCACAAAAATAGATCGACACAATGGAAGATTTGCGTTACGTTGTACCTTCTCTTTGAAACCCTTTGCACATTGTACTTTACCGAAACGCCGGAACTAGGGTTAGAAACTAATAACCCGTAATCCGACAAGAATGAGGCTTCCAAAGCAGCGCAATAGCATTGGTGATGACGCAACTACACTCCCTTCGTTTCTCTCTTCTCTTTATCTTCCGATTGCCTGTCATCTCACAAATTTCAATGTAAATTGGCGGGACTCTCATCGTGTACGTCATAGAACGATCTCCTTTAATTGATGCATTATCCGCACGCTCACGCATCATACCACTTATTGCAAAAATCTAACTAGAAATTTGAGTAGAAGAAATATCTATGTAGGATTGAGAAATGAAGTAAATCAAACAATATTCCCTTCAGTATAACGATATTTTTCATTACCACTCTCTCTCTCTCTCTCTCTCCCTCTCTCTCTCTCTCTCTCGCTCTCTCTGTATCTATCTTTCTACTGACACTCTTTCCCTGACGCTCGCACGTTCGCCCAATCCTACTCGCGCTATCCCACTCTACTACTACTACTACTATCTCTCGCTTTCTCTCTCTCTCTCTCTCTCTATCTCTATCTATCTCTATCTCTATCTCTATCTCGTTCGTTACCTAAATACAGATATGGTTATATTAAATTTTTAAATAATGATCTATCGGTGTATGAAAAAAAGTTACAAGCAATTTATGATGAATTTAATGAGTATTTGGTAAAAACATTGATAACCGTAATACTGTAGTAACACGAGTCAGGGGAAAATATATATATTATTGAAATAAATAAATAAATAAAATAAATACTTAGAATACAATGGAAAAACTATTGATTAATTCTCGTATAAATTATGAATTACATTGAAAATGTAATAAAAACGATTCGCTAGTAACGTTATTGGGCAAAATTAAATATAATGAAAATCTGATTATTTCAAAATATTAATTAGGATATAAATAATTTTTCAACCATATCCAGCCAACAGTTTTTCATCCAAAGCTATCTAATTTGAAAACCACATGAAACAGCAATAGATTATAAAAAAATCTGTGCATTCATATTCTTTAATCAATGTATCAGGCGGACATATAAAAAGAATTCTCATGTCGCGTCTCGTACAGTATGTATTTCAAAGTAAAAGTAAAAAAGGACAACTAAAACAGTCTTTTCGCCCCTCTGTTAAAATGGCAAGCATCTCGAATTCAATGCGAGACTCAGAAATCAATATCCCTCGCACGCACTCCGACACGGATGCATCAAAAGCTCGAATTTCCGATTGGATCATTCCAATTGGGCGTATGGTACATATGACGTATGTTACCCAGCATCCGATCAAAAAGACGAAAAAGAGCAATAGATGTTCATAGTTGTAGCTTCGTGGAACTTAATCCGATGAGCTGAAGCTCCATAGGCCGCCAAATTCAACTGTAGAACAAATTTCCTAATTGTAAAGTATACGTTTACGCAGAGATATGCTTAAGTTCACGACATTTATTGGTTCGCTACCTATGTAAATCAAAACATCATACATTCGAATTCCAGTATATATTTTTATGTATTTATACGTGCAATTTCATATTAAAAAAAAAAAAAACCTATCAATATAGCTGCCAACGACTATGTAATAATTTTAATAAAACTAAAAGCTTACATAGTTCTTCAAAAAATTTAATTTTTAATAATTCAATATAAGCCCATAATATGGTGATTAATATTACTTTGTTAGTAAGCAAAAGTAGAAATGGAAAAGTACTAAGTTAAAAAACTTTTCCGTAATATTAATCCTGTAAAATTCTAGAATACTCTTTTTACTTATATATACTATAATTTACTTATAAGAAATTGTAAAAAGCATAAAATGTATGCTCATCGTGATTGATTTTTCAATTTGAGCATGGCAAATAGTTGAATATTAATGAAAATGAACAATTGTCCTTGAATATGAAATATCAATAATGAAATGAAAATTATCAAATACAAATTATTGAATACTTTTATTTTCACAAACGGTATTTATTAACTTTAAAGTGGCGATTATTCATAGGGGTAAATACTCCATACGCTTAATCGAACAATTAACATAAAATAAATAACGGAAAGCATGATTGTAGTATTAAAAGATCTCATTCATTCCAATGGAACAAATGTTTTTGCATTGGTAAAAATATTTAATGTTGCCGAAAAATTCACCTTGCTGAAAATCCATCTCTCTCTCTCTCTCTCTCTCTCTCTCTCTCTCTCTCTCTCTCTCTCCCGTAGCTTTTCAGAGCAACATAACATTAGACTCGTTATGAACTCAAGCACGCTCGGCATTTGCATTGATGGCGCAAGTGTAATATATCACCTCGCGTTGTCGCGAAAAGGTGAGCTTACGACGCGTGGGCAGACTGACCACCTGTTGCCACGTGCATAGGCGCGGCTGTCATTTATATTTTAGAAACCGGTGAGAGGCTCACGCCCTGAATATTCTGCTATGTTCCAAAGGGAGAACCATTGGACTGAGCCATTTGCTCCAGAGGCGTACTCGATTACGATGCTCACCATAAATTTTGTCTTAAAAATGGAGTCGACTCGAGCGAAGCAGAAAAGGATCGATCGGACTCGAATTGCCTGCTAATCCTTCATTTTACATTGAAAAACTGTTTATTTTATAATAAAGAATGCAGATTACTGATCGATTAAAAGCCTGTAATCCGACGTGCAAGAAACTATCCAACCTAAGTTAATTTTCAGAAATATTGATAATCTCTCATGTTTTCAAATTTCTATTATAATTCTTATTATTAATGATATAATCAATAACATTAGTTCTTTGGTTTTTTATTTAAAAATTTTTAATCATTTATGCAATATAAGCTGAGTACTTTTTATGGTCAAATATCAAATATCACACAGTACATGTGCATTAGCGTTGTACGATTGAATAAACGGAAAATAATGCTTACATTCTTTGTTGATTATTGACAATTCGAGCATCATTTAAATTGCATTAAAGTTTCCTCTCCACGGGGTCGTTGAGTATACATCGTTATATTTATTTAAAGAAATATAAAAACAAATACATAATCAAATGTTGGTACAACCACACAAACGTCTTTCATACATTAATGATCATATTCAATTGAATTTATTGAAAATATTTTTCTCATTCCGTCACAGCTCACAGACACAACCATCACTCACATTAAAAACATACGAGTTCAATCACGTGTGCTTTCTCTTTACAGGGTGCGTCATCCAGCGTAGTAGTAAAATTCGCGGACACTGAAAAAGAGAGACAGTTAAGACGCATGCAGCAAATGGCCGGGAACATGAGCCTTATTAACCCTTTCGTCTTCAACCAATTCGGTCCTTACGGCGCTTATGCCCAGGTACGTAGCCAGCCGTCCTTCTCCTACCGCCGCACCACCCACGACAACTTTAACCCATAAGCTCGTAACTTTCCAGATTTTTCCTTCATCGCCTTCTCATTTACTCTCCTTTTGTTGTATCGTATAATAATGTGAATAATAATTTACTTTCTAACGTACGGATCCTTAAACATACCGTTTTATATTCAACAAAAGAAATTTCACTCATAAAGTTTCTTTTTAATAATAATTGACCAGAAAGGCGCGCATCAAACATTTATTTATTACTCCATTACCATTGTGCTCAGTGATAATAATCAGTAGAGAGCAGAAGCTCTGTCGATTAAAGCTTTTCTTAAAAGTTAATGTTGTTTTGAAATACTTAAAAGCTCCTCGAAGGTAATTCACCCAGGTACCTCGACCCTCGGTCACCAAACCACCAAATAACAATAGCGTGCGTCAAGGAAGTGGTAAAGTCAGTGTTTGGGTGGACCGGCATGAATAAAGAGGAAGACTTTAACAAATAAGAGCTTGTAATTTTTTTTTAAACTTGTAGCAGCAAGCAGCGCTGATGGCAGCCGCGACGGCGCAGGGAACGTACATCGGTCCGATGGCGGCCCTCGCTGCTGGACAACTTCCCCACGCCCTCAACGGCATGCCTAACACCGTCGTGCCGCCCACCTCTGGTACATATCCGATGAGCACCGACTCTTTACTCCATCATTTCTTCATACAGTTGCGTTTGCACAAGTGGCACGCCTGTGAAATTACCGAAGAAACGAGGCTCTCGCTGTGTTTAATGGCTGGGGCACGATTAATTTACGATACCCATGATAAATATCTACTTCGATGATAAAACAAAAGAGAGGGATAACGAAAAAAGAAAAAATACATTATGGGAGCAGTAGCATTGTTTATGCGATATCGTATATAAGCGAATTCATTTCGGTCATAAGTGCTTGATTAATGCAAAAACAACAACAAAATAAAAAACGAAAAAAAACGAATATACGTACAAACGAAGCCGAACAACGTAACGAACGCTTTTCGCGACGGTACTAATGATGTAGAAAGTTATAAACCATCACTGTCAAAGGTTGAAATTGATTTGTTGGTACACGAAAATTCGAGAACTCGAGCATTGTCGGCGAGTTGTCCATTAAAATATGCATAGATCGTCATGAATCACAATTTATCGATCTTAATGCTTAAATAATACGCAAGTTAGAATAGACATACGGAGGAATTCTCATTGCAATGTCCGCTATGTATAGAAGGTGCCACTTATACAATATATTATGATAAATTCATATCGACATACTTACATGTTGTGTGTTGTTAATTTACGAATTTTACGAATAATGTTTTTCGAATCGCTTTTACTCTATTAATGCTTTAGCAAAGGCATTTTAATGGTAATTTAAACTGATGTTACTTAAATAAGACGACGCGCCATAACATTGGAATATTAAATAAACATTGATTGCTTGTACTGCGTGTTTATTTTGAGAATTACATTGGCGGAGCGAAAGGTATGTGATATACAAAGTGTTAAGTTGAGTTTAAATATTTAAATATATTTGTAAGCTCGTACGTTCGCTTACGGTTTTCATGAAACCGCATAACTGTGATGCAAAACGAATAACGAATGCGCTCCCCTCGTGTAATCGATCTTTTACTAAAGTTGAAATTTTCGGTAAAGCGCGATCAGAAATTTCGTAAATTCTATAGAAAAGCCGCGCTTTTCCACTCTCGATACTCCCGATTGAACAAATTCACGAAAACTTCGCACGAACGCCGATGAGAAATACACAGGGAGCGCGAGCGAAAAGAAACCATGATTAACTTGGGTAACCGGTGTGTCCACTTTAACCAGGCTTGGTCGTAGGTACCGGCACAGGCCAACCAGTGAATGGGACCCTACCCTCGCTGCCCTCCCCGACGATGCCTAACTTCAACATGGCCGCTCAGACACCGAACGGACAGCCGGCCGGCTCCGATCCTGGCGTCTATACCAACGGCATACCCCAGACCTACACAGGACGTGAGTATGATGGACCCCAGACCTCCAACCCCTTGCCGCCGGCACGATGGACCCTTAACCATTCAACGTGGGCTGACGATCTAATCGATAAAATCTCTATAGATTGATTCGAGTTTAAAATCGGGAAATTAATAGTCTACTAGTATTCGGCTATTGACCGCTGAGCCCGCGTGAAAAAGAGAGGGAAAGTCACGCACGGCGGCGAGGACTCTAGGTTAAGTCGCGTCCGGACGATAAGAGCTGAACTTATTGAAGTGTAGATGCCCTTCATCTATCTATTCCAGCGCAAGGTCTGCCCAACGGGGAGGCGGCACTCCAGCACGCCGCAGCGTATCCGGGGATGCAGGCGTACCACGGCGTTGGTAAGTCTTCCAGACGACTTTTCTTCTACGAAAAGTAGCTTCGAGCACGCGGAAACGTTGCATCCGGCACTAGACGCTGTCTTATCTTTTTGTTATTGTGCGATTCTCTATTCCGAAAACAGCCTAAAGAATGCTAGAATTCAGTTAGGACGGAACCCACGGATCTTCTCTACCTTCACGCGAATCTTAAATTCTTAGAAATTCTTGAAAATTTACTTGGCCGATTATTATTAGCCATAGTACTACTCTATGGGTTCGGATTAATTTGATCGAATTATTTGGAATATTTATATTTCATTGTTATTGAATTTGTGCGTTATTAGCTCGGGGACGTACAAAACTATGAACAACGTTAATTCTTTAAAGTCGTTCACTTCTACTCTTACTATATTTTAAAATTACTTTTAGGAGTACTTTCTGTAGGATTAAACTTTGAAATAAATCATCGCGTCATTTCGATTATATTGTGTTCAAATATTTTGTTTCCATTTACTTACATAATCTCTTGTGTAACATCACGTAACTCTGCATATTTGCTGATAATAATATAGTTACGTAAATATCTTAAATTCCATCACTATTCGTATTACTTGGTATAAAAAAACTAATGAATTCCAAATAAGAAATATATCTCCCTTTATAAACGTATATTTCCTCTTAATGACAATATTTATCATTGCTTTTTCATTTCACTTGCCTGCAGATAATACTATTCGATAAATTTTATATAGATAGATTCCAATTCTCTTCTCTGAAAGCAAAGCTACATTTGTGTGTATATATATATGTGTGTGTTTGTGTTTAGAATTATAATGTAATTAAATACAACAAATTAATTCAATTACAATTCATTAAATAGAAGCGCACTTTTTAACGCAAATTTTATAAAGAAACTACTTTGGCTAACGTAGGGATGAAAAAATATAATCAAAAGAAAAAATATTTTTCATGGAAAAATTATAAATTTTTCGAGCGGATCGTCTGGCTTATTTCATATAATACTCATATATAGTAAACTTGCAGTTATACGCGCGTGTGCCTGTCTGTGTACTTTTTACGTATCAGAGTATAACTTGATATGATTTTGCGGGAAAAGCTAACCACGTTTCATTTATTTACCTAGTTTGTTTTCTCTAATATCTATATAATACTTTAACAAAAGAGAGAAAAATATATAATTTTTCTATTTCATCGTCATGTACATGTGTTTAAAAATGAATAAAAGTTTTATTCCACTATTTATCGCACAACACACTTATAAAATAGTAATAAATAATCAAATATTTTTAATGAAAAAACTTATACCTCTAAAAATAAGTTATATTATTATGTGTTGTTTTTATAAAGAAAATTCTCAAATATTTTACTTTTGGAGAATTTGTTAGTAATTTTTTTTTTTATTTCAATGTAATTCAATCAAGTCAGATATATTACATTTATTATGTTGGGTTATGATTTTTTTTCTTTTTATATCCTATGTTATTTATTTAACTATCCAACTTTAAATATATAATTATCTATATGAAGCTAAACATAAGAGTTTAGAGATAAATATTTGGCATTATTTTTTGGACTATACTATACATATATATATATATATAACGTATATAAAAAAAAATATTATAAATATAGAAAAATCTGAAAATGTTTTTAAGTGAAAATAAATTTAATTTGAAATTATAAAATAAATAGATAAATTATTATTGCTACATATATACAATTTTTAAATATATATATTTATATACGTGTGTGTGTGTGTTAAAGACTATGTTACTTATATAATTATTGATATTAAAGTTTTACAAACAAAGTAATATACAATCAATTATTATTGCAATGATCAGTGAAAATAAAATATATATAGAATATTTCTTTTCAACCATTTTATTACAGAAAATATCGTGTATTCGTTATCAAAAACTCATTACTATACCATAGAACAACATATAATACACACGAACGAGGTCAAATGCACGCACACACGTTTTAGGGTTCAATTGTGCTGAATTTTAAAATAATAATCTAGATGAAAGAACCCTAAAAAATATTCTTTCACTCGTGTATCGAATTTTCGTAACATCAAAAAATTAAAAAAAAAAAAACATATTTGTGCAAAGTCGATTGAAATATATTAAAGTGCTATTTACCCTCACAATAATTAATTTTTAGATAAACCGAATTGGGAAAAATGTATAGAGATTGTAAATTGCAAATATGAGAGACAAAATTGTGCTTCAATCGATGGAATACAAACGGATATGCGTATCAATCGATCCCTCCTGCTATACCTTTTAGTAAATGTATATTATCTGCATATTGTTTAAAAAATATATAATTTTTATTCAGTTAAAGAAAAAAAATGTAATACAAAAACAATATTAAATTGTGCAAAAACTTTAAAAATTCTACTTTTACAGTATCTTCGGATTATTTGAACATTATACTCTTGTTTGCATACAATAATTAATAATATTTTCATATATTTTTCAATTATTTTATTAAGTATTATCAATTATCAAGTATATTCAATTATTAAGTATTATCGAACTCTTGATTCTAAAATGACTGTTTGCATAATAAGAATAAAAATTATCGCAGTACTTATAATTAGCAAACATTTATTCACAATATATTATCTATTTTAATATGAATCCGAATAAATATGATATAAAGTTACAACACGCAATAAAATTTCGCTTTTATTTTAAGGATGATTTATCATTACGTGTTTAAAATCTAAAAGGTTTTATAGAATAATTATTCATTTTAATACTTTGTAGAGAAAGTATTTTTAAATATTTATATATGTATAAAGAGATGAACTTTTATTTTAGTGATTATACATTTTATTTTAAAATATTTTATTTAAAAATTTTAGCATTTCAGCATTCAGCAGGCAATATCGATATATATATATATATATATGTAATTTATCTACATAGACGATACTATCATTTAACTATACATTTACATGAGAAAAAATATATATATATATATATATATATACATATACGTATGAATTTTAATTTTCTAATGTTTTACAAAAAATATATGTATTTTCGATAAAAATATAGATATTTATCATAAATAATCGTTAAGAATGAAAAAAGAAGTACTTATCTCATATTCGCAATGACATCTATCTTTTACAAAAAGCTTTTTCACCGGTAATATAGACACTACGTATCAGTAACGTAGATATTATGTGATTATGATTATCTTTTACGCCTCCTTGTTAATGTAATTAACCAAATCACTGGTTGGAAATCTCGATAAAACAAATACCGAAATCATTAATTAATGAGAAAAGTAAAGGAAAGGTATTCGTTAAATATTGATCAATAAGCATGGAGGGTCTAGTTTCGTAAATTTTCTGCATGCGTTTATGTATGACACACGAGTCGCGGTGTCGAAACCGATAATGACTGGTATCTTGTTCTAATGGTATCTGGCGCGCATTTGACTGAACTGATATTGGATATCCTCTGTTCGTATATGACCGGCTGCAAAAATCAAAGGGCAACTCTGATATGCAAATGTAATTTGTGTAACGATAAACAACATACGATAAAGGGAGAAAAAAGATGCGACAACGATGGATCCGTTTATAATAACGGGATTTCTGTCCAATAGTTTCATATTGCTTTTTGAGTTTTAATATTACACGATACCATTTTACACGGTTTACACGGTGTTTAAAATATATATTTTATTAAGTTTAATGTTTAAGCGAGGAATTGTAACTGTATTACAGAACTATTATCAACATTTTCAATATAATTATGAATTAGGATAATACAAATTCTTTGTATAATTTTATCAATAATTAGTTACTCTATAATCCATGATTAAGTGACATTAATTCATCTATTATTATAGAATATTGAAAAAGTTATTTCGAAAAAAATCAAACCACAAGCTAATTTTTAATAATTTTACACACAACTAAAAAACTACGTTCTATGAGTAATATAATATCTACATTAAATAACAATAATTGAAAGTACACAAATTTTTTTTAAACGTTTACTTTTTTTAATTTAATTAAATATTTTACACATTTTAATCAATTATGCTTTTCTAGTGAATATTTTGAAGTGAGAATTAGTACTGCTATAGTAGTTTAACTTCTTGATGAACCCTTGAAAACTTTATTAAAATGCTTCCCTGCAATTCATTACACTTAATTTAAAAAAAAAAACAACGAAATTTTATATCAATTTATATTTTTCTATTTTTCTATAAAACTTCACTTTATCAGCAAATATTGAGTGAGACCTGACAAGAAAAATTTTTTTAATTTAATACCTTTATCAATAAATAAAATAAATGTATGAGCATAATAATTAGTTATATATACTAACAGATTATTACAAAATGGAAAATTTATAGCGTCAATTAGTACTTCTACTAGATAATGTACTAAAATTAATACGTGATAAATATAAATAACCAGTTTAACAATCAATTTACCTTCAAATTTACCTTTAATTAAAAGAATCAAATCATTAATTATTTTGTATAAATAGTAAATTTTTGATAATTATGGACTGAATTGAATTCATATTTAATTGAATTGAAAGACTAGAAACATTGATCATTATTTATAATGAATGAATTTTGAATAATTACGGCTATTTGTAAATTACATTATTTTAAATAATAACATTTTTATCATAAGCAAAATTAATACAATACTAATGTAATAAAAAAAATTATCTAAAGTAAATTCAATAATACAAAACTTCATAATCCATTAAAATAACACTTAAACTTAGATGTTAGCTGTACAAGAAATTTATCATTAAATGCAAAATTTCAAATGTATAGATCTCCTAGTAGAATATTAAAAGTACTTTTAAATATCGCTAATAGTCCATCTCTTTTATCTAAAATCAAAATTTGCATAGATATTATTACTGAAGTGCAATTAAGTGTTCTTGAGTGTAAAGTTTGGTAAGATTTTATGGACTATTGATAATAAAGCACAGATAAACGTTTTATATATTTATGTTATCTATCTTGGATATAATACAAATTAAATTAAACATATGTAATGCAGAGTAACAATTGAGGTTCGTAATATTTTAAAATAGAAAAAGCTGAAGAGAATATATTCATTGTACTTCTACCTTGTGCTTATAGACTATAACAAATATGAAACGCTTACTTAATCGAAACTTTATACGAGTTAACACAAAAGCAAAAATTATATAAATTTGATGAAAAATAAATTCTTTAATATATGGAATTTATACGTACATGAATGCATTTATACCAGCAATACTGAAGAAAATAGCCACGATCTTCTCGATGAATTTGATTCAATTCTATTATTCTATTAAATTCTATCAAAGAATTCTTTTAAATAGAATATAATAAGCGATTTAGGTTGGAATACGTTTGTAAAATGTATTAATAGTTTCGTGAGCAATAAATTTTTAATTTATACATAGCATTAAATATTTAGTTTAAATTTAGCAATAAATATTATTACAATAAAACGGTTTGATACTATCACACTGGAAAATGCTCCTTGCCTCCTTGGCCTGTGTAAGACTCCAATCTATTAATCGCGCACGCACAATAATAAAAGAAAGACATTGATTGACGCCGGACTTAATGTAACGGACAGACCAATGATGTATCTTGTCAACTTGTTATTGCCACAGCGTATCCTGCCGTCTACGGCCAGTTTCCTCAAGCCATTCCCCAGCCGATGACAACAGTCGCACCACAACAGAGGGAGGGTAAGTACATACGAACACATCTGAATCCATCGCATATTCATACATATGTAACCGGATATCTCTATGTGTACATATGTAATGTATATACGAATACTGTTAACTAGTTATATATCATTATATTATACGTGTCTATATTCATTGTTCTTTGTTAAATCGATCACTGCACCTCATATCTCTATATATAGCTACATCTCCATTTATATCGTTTGTATTTTTATTGTTGTTCTTGATGTGGTATTTTTTAAAATTTTTTTATCATTATAAATCATATTATATACATCCAGTCATCCTGTCCCATTTGGCTTTAGAAGTGAACTATATGTGCTTATTGTCACATAAAATTACAATGTTTTTTTTTATTTGTATTAAAATATATATACGCGCGCGCGTGTGTGCGGGTGTACGCGCGGGCGGGGGAGGGATATAATATTCATTTTAATTTTCTATAAATTTGGGTTTCTATGATTAAAATCTCGGTACTTTCATGACAATATAAATGTTATCTTATATTAATGCAATATTGAGTTTTATTTGAAAAATGTTTATAAATTAAATTAATTAATCGAAAGGGTCGGATTAAAATTAGTTTTATTATATTCTCCTTTAGTAATAATATGAAATGATCAAGATACTTTCATCCTATAATCCATAATAAATATTAAATGTATACCTAACTACATAAGTGAGATATATTTTTTATGCGTATCGTTGTTCACGCACATTCGATAATATTTATTGAAAAATATCCTTGAGACTTCATAAATATGTTTTAAAAATTTTTCAATAAATATACAAATTATTATAATTTATATGCTAATTTGTAATATTTAGTAGTTACTATTTGATAAAAATTTGTAAAATTCTGTGAAATATTTTAAGAAAAAAATGATTTGAGCTATTGAAATATGTATTGAATGACAATTATATTGATAAAAGATCAACAATATATAAATTTAGAGGTGTGAACATTAAATGGTCTTCTTTAATATTGAGTGCAAAATAGCTTAGGGATATGGTATTCCACTTCCTTTCTCAAAATCATCGATAGAGAAGCATATTATTTTTAAATTAAGGGAGCAGCTTATTAGTTCTCATTTTCAAGAACATTATTATCGACTATGAGAACTAGCGAAAATCTTTTAAAAGAAAGTACTCGGCCAAAGAAGATCTTAACAATACTAAAGAATGTAATTTTAAATAAATTCCTTGAAGATTATTTCGTCAAATTTATCTCTGATGTCAGCGTTTATCTATTAATTCTTTACTGATTTTTCCTATTATAAATTATTCATAAATAGATTGTTTAAATGTTATAACGAAGGGATTTTTGGTACCACTCTTATGCAATCATTCTCTCAAATAGCGGTGAATTAAAGAACTTATCAATCTGAAAGGAAAAGATTGAGAGAGATAGATGTTGCTGCATAATTAAGAGACTATAAAAGAAAAAGTGAGGATTTTTATGTCGATCCTCTTATTCACGCTCATAGATAACTCAGTATATAGACGATACATTTTCATGCAAATTTATAAGGAATGAGTTCCTATGTAATATACATTACTATTAAACTCATAAAACGATTATATATATATATATATATATATATATATATCTGTATTTAAGTGACTTAAACATTTCTCTACGAAACCTATTCTTCCTTTGAATGTCATACTTCTAGAAACATCTTGCAATCTTAGCTTATATAATATATATCGCAATTTATCCGAAAAAGAGTTACATTTGATTTTTACTTTCTTCATTGTACAAGAACAAAAAAAATAAATTCCTAAGTTTAGTGTAAATATGATGTATCTCCTCTGCTCATTTCCTCTTCACAATTCTAGCTGTCAACTTCTGCATGACAATCACTAAATTTCTACTCTACAATTATATGAAAATACGATTCTATTGCTACTTCGAAATTTTAATTGTTTGACATGATTATTACAACAGTACTTACGAATCTTTTTTTCCAACTAATGAAACTTAGATTTGGTATCCGTGATTAAAATCAGCACTAATAAAATATTGATTCAATTCATTTCAATTCAACAGAAATATTGCAAAATTATAAATTATCTCTATGTTGTGTTAGCAAATTAAATTAATATATTAAATTTTTCCATTTTCGATACTGTTCAGTATAGCCTCCTGAATTATGAAGAAAAAAAATTCAACCTAATATTGGAATGAATTGATTTAATTTTTGCTTTCATTATGCATAACGAGATAACCACTCTGCTCTTCTGGAACTAACGTAACAATTTATAAATTAAGCATTTCTTTGAAATTTTTAGTATTTGCCTCAAACAGTTGTTTGATAAAATGATTGTTTGAATGAACTTGAAACATAGTTTAAAGACTAACTTAACTCATAAAAATCAAAGTTTCTCTTTACTTTTTAAATGCTTTTTTAAACTTGTAAAATATTACGACTTTTCAACAAGTGTTAAAATTAATCTGTCGCGAGCTTTACATTATCTGATATATTATTATATATTTGATATATTCTCACTCGTTTAATCAACAATAGGAAATTTTGTATTTCCTTTTCCATAATATTATCCATTATAATAGCCTCATTTGTTATTCTTATAATAGTAAAATTTAAAGACATATATCTGTTACAATTAACCGTTTGAAAAATTTCATCAATTATAATTTTAAATAAAACGTAGATTCAAATACCAAAGAATGTCACTATTTAACAATAAATTACACGTTTCACTTATGATATTTAATATAATAATTAAATAAAAAAAAAATCGGAAACAGTTCAGCCAAAGCTGAGAAAAATTACAAAAAGGTTCAGAACTAATCTATATTAAACGCTACAATTAAAAAAATACACAACGACTTCGATATAAAGAATGAGGATGAAGAAAAAAAAGTCGAGACTCTTTAAGGTCGCAAATAGACGCGGTGATTTCACAATTTCAAAGACTGGGGCTTCTAATTGAAAAAGTAAAAGGCCGCGAAAGCAAGAGTGCGAGCGCACCTAATTGCAATTAACAGCTCACCATTATTAGAATATACGATGCCTTACAATGAAATAAAACAAATAAAACGAAAGTTTTAATTACTTTGCCACTACGAGCGACCCTTATGTTGTGTTCCCTGGCATCACGAGAAGGTAAAGGAAAAGTTTACTTTCTTCCTCTTTATACAAGATCTTTTCTTTTTTTCATCAACCACTGTTCACTTATCTTCTATTAATATTGCACAACGTTTATCTTATTCTCATCTCTGTGTTTATCATCATTCTATATTTTGTATTCCTTATTTAAATAAGACTTCTTTCTATCATTTATTTGCCTTTTTGATTAATACATAATTTCTTCGACTGTTATTACATAGATTCATTAACTTCTACTCAACTATTTTGATTATTCGATATGAGAATTAAACAAAATTGAAATATTTAAATATTTATATTTTTTACATAAACTCATTATTATTAACTTAAAATATATTGTTTTTGTTGTATAATATTATTTGGTATATAATACTAAATGTATAGTAGGTGAATGCTTTAATTTAACGAATAAATATTGAAACTAATAATTATTAAAATTTAATAATGGTCATATATTATATATATATATATATATATATATATATATACGTATGTATATAGATGTTTAAATTTTAACATTATTTGTTATTATATTATATCTTTCATTTCATAAAAAATATTATAGGCTTTATATTTAATAAATATATCTTAAACGAAAATTATTCAAAAGTTCAAGAACTCTTAAAATATGTAATTACTTTATTGCATTTTTATATTTCTTTAATTTAAGTAAATTAAGTGCTTTTTCCATCATTTATTTATATGATATACACACGATCCAATTTCTATATTAAAGCCCATTTACAGCTATAAAATAATAGAAATTATTATAAAAATATCTATTATTCAAAATAAAAATATTAAGCTACTTTCAAAATTGAATTTTTTCGAAAAATTATAATCAAGATTTAAATATTATTTATTATTAAAATATTCTTGAAGGGAATAATATGTATAAATAGGTTACATATAAAAATGCAGTATCGAAATATATAATATTCCTTTTTTTTGTAATAAAAATTTTTAAATCTTCATAAAAATTTCTTTATTGATAATGTTTAAATACAGCAAATATAAAATTAATAGTTTAGCATAAATAAATCAAATTGGGTGTAAATAATTTGATTATTGAGAGTATTAAAAATTTTTCCATAAAATAAACCAACAATAGATACTATTATAATTGCATAATATTTTCATATAGTAAATTATAAATGCTATATTAATCATTCATAAAGTTGTCGGTATTTATAAGATTTTATTAAAACTTCTAAAATCATCGATAAAAGAAACCATTTAAATTATAACTTCAACCGTTATTAAATAAGCATTACAATTTTTATCTGTTTTACCAGAAAAAAAGTTTATAATATGCGAGTGACAATGTAAAACACCATAACGTGTATCTCGTGTATGCATAAGCCTACGTAATTTCTACTGATTTTGGAAATAGATGAATCATGCATAATATCGTATTATAACAATACTAATAATTCTCTACAAAATTATTAAATATTGTAGTCCAATATATTAAATATCATGGTAATATTTCATTTTGTTTGCTTAATGTCTTTAGTAAATATTAATATTATACGTTGACTATTATTGCCTTAGAATTTTAATTTTCTGTTAAATTTTCTTAAAAAATTGTACTGTAATAATAATTTCATGTTTAATATTCAATATTCATCAATGTTTCTATTTATATGTATTAAATTATTTCACATTCAATTGAATCGTTGTAATTTTAGTATTGTTTTAGTATTACCGTTGCATTCGATGTTGTAGCTGTTTAGTATTTCTGTCCAAATTCAGACAATTCAATATATATTCAAAATTATATATCAACGAACATATAGTGATAAATATTGTCGATATAATAAGTCGTATATATAAATAAGTAAAATGGTCTTTGATTGATTATTTTCGAAGAAAACCTAATGCATTGCTTACATTATACTTTTAATTGTTGTATTTTGACAAAATATTAGGAAACAGGAATTAAATATTAAGAATGTTTCTTGCTTTTTTCTCATTTTCCCTCTTTAATTTAAAATATCGCAACACGCTCTATTCTGTCACTGACTCAGACCATACTTTTATGCTCTTCGTTTTCTTCATATGTATTCCGTCTGTGATATTAATTTAGTGTGTATTTCTCCATATATATATAGGCACGTTTTTACAACATTGATATAGAAAAGAAAAAATTTGTTTTTATTATGTTTTATTCCTCGTTCTTTTATATTAGAAATTTACTTGAAGCTAGTCTTTTCTTCAGAACTTGAGTTACATAATCGATTGAAGCTATATAAGCTGGATAATAAAGATTTTAAATAAAATCTAAGAAATTCAATACTATTTCAAATACTATTTCAAGAATATTGAAAAAAGCTTGATATATTTTATTAAATGAAAATTGATGTTACAAGTTAATGTCATACATTCAAAACTAACGAAAGTATATCCATAAAATAAAATTTCTTAATTATCTGAAGGAATTTATATATTGCGAATTTAGTAAGTTATATAATCAAACGAATTTACATTCTTTCAACGAGAAATTTATTCGCCTGATAAAAAAAATAGTTAATCTTCAACATCGAAGGTACATTAAATTTATTTCAATATCTACATTCAATAGCTTCAAATTCATTTTATATATGCAATGTATTACGTGCTATAAATAAATTTCTTTTTCTTGAAACTAGAAAATAAAATGTTATATGATATATGATATATGATTTTAATAAAAAAATATACGTTTATAATTTTCTCATACGACAATTTTTTATTTCATAGCTTAAATGTATTAATTTAGTTTTTAGTGTAAGTAGAGTAAAAGCATATACGATCAAATGTATTACATCAAGTTATATATGTTTACATACATGTTTACTTTGTTTAAATATTTTCTTATAGTATTTGAAAAGCTGTTTAAATAATTTACAAAAGACACGGAGATTCGGAAAAGTTTTTTAATTAATGTTTCAAGAAAATGAAATAATTAAAATGAAATTTAAAGTATCAAAAATAATTATCTAATCTAACACCCATAATTTATATATGAGGGTAACTCATGATTTTTCAATTATTATTACACTATTATGCCTCATAACATGTTTATATTGTATTTATATGCGACAAAATCATCTATTTTAACATTTATCATTTATTCACTGCCATTATACAATCATACTTCATCCATTATCTAACCATTCCCTCATTGTCGTATTTTGTGACACCTGGTGTTGTGTGTGTGAATGCCAGGATATGTGAGCGAGTGTTAGTGTGTGCGCATGTGCGAGCAATTGTGTGTAAAACATTGAAAGTATAAATACTCAACGTTAATTTTTTTGAATTGAGAGTTTATAACGAATCGTCGTGACGCTCTGAATGATCGTACTATAGTTAAAGAAAAATTAAATGAACATATAAAGATTTTTGAGAATTTTATACTAATTTTATAAAAAAAATATTTTTTTTATTTCTGCAAAAATACTCTTATTTAAAAGAATTTATAGATTTTTTTTTTTTAATACTTTAAAAATTATATAATGTGTGCTACTATTTAAAAGTCTTAAAATGTGTGTTTTCATGTATTACAGTTTTTTTTTATTCTTTTTATTTTTTATTAATATTTAATAAAATAATGTCTTTAATTATTTGAAAGTAAAATAAATAAAAATTAATACATAAATTAGAAAAAATTTGTCTTTTAAAAAAGAATAAACTTTTTTAAATATCGTTTTAATATAGTTTTACACTTTATCGGTTTTTCATAAAACTGTGTAATTCATTAAGTAAATATGCCTATGAATATTGTATATAATTGAAATCTATTATTCGTTACGTTTTCCAATAAATGATGCAATAGTTTTTTTGAAACAATAATTCTTCGGATATTAATACTAAAAGCATAATACATGATATTTGAGTGAAATTCATTACATAAAATTCATAAAAATCCAATTCATAAAAAAAAAGAAAGAAAAATGCATGCATACATGTGATCGGCTTCCTAAAATATTCATGCTCTCATTATTCAACAATCAGTCATTTAGGTCATTGGTAAAACAAAAGTAATAACGACGAGAATCACGCGGTTCGCTCACTCTCACATTCATTGTTCATATCATTGATCATTCTCTTTTCGGCTCTCGGCATAAATAAATGAAAAGTCGCGTTGCCAGGAACAAGTCGTTCAGAATTAGCGAACGCAAGGCATATCGCAAGATTTAAAGTCGAAATCAAAATCACAACGAACGAAATGCAAACAACATTCTATAACTTGAGTATTATACTTCAAGTTTAGATGTTTAGATGTGCTCTGATTTATATGATAGGATGCTCTATATCAGGACCCGAAGGCTGCAACCTCTTTATCTACCACCTGCCCCAGGAGTTCGGGGATTCCGAGCTCATGCAGATGTTCATCCCCTTTGGGAACGTCATCTCCTCCAAGGTCTTCATTGACCGCGCCACCAATCAGAGCAAGTGCTTTGGTAAGTACTCGTAAGTGCTTGTCGTAAACAAGACCGACAGGACCTCGATCCCATCGAACTACGTTCCATGAGCCTTTGCTGTGATTATCCCATGTAGCAGGATATATCTAAGGTGTTCTATTCGTCCGAAATATTTCGTGAAGCTTTTTTGTTGTGCAGCGTTTATAAAGTGATGGATGTTTATTACCTTTATCTCAAAACTAGCTAATCATTGGAGGTGAGAATTATATAAACAAAGTCTTACGATATTTCACGATGATTAGCTTACTATGCGAGCTCTATCAATGTTCTCTTCTTCAATATTAATCAACTTATATTATGGCATTGCATCACTTTTTTTTTAATTTCCGTTACATAATATGGTTAAATTAACAAAGAAATCAATGTGAAAAAAAAAATAGTGTTGATTTTTTTTTCTAAATAATTATAAAATTTTCATATTTTAAAATCAAAATAATATAACGATTATATGCAAATTTCAAAGTTCAAAAAATAATAATAATGATAAAGGATTTAATGACAATTTTAAATTTCATCCATAGAATTATTAGCGATTTTAGCGTTAGCGATTATATTGTAATATACTTGTTATTACATTACGATAATGCAATATTCAGCAGTTTAATTTCAATATTTTAATCAATTTGAAATACATAAAAAGCATTCTTAAGTAATTATTATAATATTTAACAAAATTTCAATACCGTCATCAGAATCGTGGCATTATTTTTCAAACTAATTTATTTCCTTAATTTATTTATATTTTCATTTATTGTGTAGATGCAATTTTAAATAGTTGATAATTGTAAAAGCAATAATAGTTAGTACCGTATAGATGTGTTACTGTTGCGAAATTTATTATTAAATAAATGTGATTATGTTAAAGTCGTGAATGACTACTGGTAATAAGGAATGTTTAGGCAAAAATTTTTTATTTATAATAGACAAATGTTTTATTTAGTCTCCTCATTGGAGGACCGTTGTAGTGGCAAGCATCACATTTTATTATAAAAAAAATATTTATTCAAATATTTCAAATCATATGGTGTTAACTTTTAATATCACATTAAATTTTTTGTTTCGTCAGAAAAATAGTTATGAAATGGAACATATATTACGAGTGACATTTTCAAAAAGATGTAATCCTCTTTTAAAACACTAATCCAGATACATTCTCAGAATTTAACTTACGAGCTTTCACGTTCCAATTAATCGAAAGATGAAGCCAAAGACAAACGAAAGATAAAAAAGGAAAACTCTACTAAAGCTCAAAGCCTGAAAAAGGATAACTCGGAGAAGCCCCTCATAGGTGCACGAACGAAGAAAGAATACGAACGAATAAAAGAAGAGAGTGCAAGGGACGAGATATAAACAAAAAAAACGCGTTTTAATTAATATCATCTGCGGTGGTGTCCGTTGGTAATTACAAGTAGAAGATTTCATTTTCTGCCTCGCACTGATCCACAATTGTAAAATAAATCTCAAAAGGCACGTAGGCGTCGTGGAAGGGGCTCGCGTAAAAAGAATAGTTGCAAGTTGAATGAAAATTTATTAGTGTACAGAACAGACATTTCTGGATTAGATCCAAGTCCGCCGATATTAATGCGGCTTATCAATCGCCGTACGTAAAAATCAAATCGTACGTGTATTTGCTTTTTTCTTTTTTTCTTCCTCTCTTTCTTTTTTTTTATTTGTTTTCTCGCATGTGTTCGAAGTGGTATTTCACCAAGGGAAAAAAGTATCGTTTGTGCAATTATCTATGAGATTCATGATATGAAAAACGAATTTTATTTGTGTTTTAATTTCACGGCCTTTTTATAATTTTTTCTCTTACTTGCTATTTTTACAGCCGCAATATAACGTGATTATTAATTGTTAAATATAATTTGTATTAAATGTACATTGGTGTTGTCTGTTTTACAATTCAAGGTGGTAAAATATTTTGCTTTTTAGTCTTGTTGTTTCGCTTATTGATTATACATCAAAAATCAATAATAAGGTAAAAACTATACGTAGACTAATTCAATCCATGTATTTATTTGAATAAAATACTTTAAGAAATAAAATAACCAAGTTAATTTAATTTGCTTAAATGAATAATTATTAATTATGAATAATAATTTCTAGTAAATGATTTCTATTTTTGTGTAGTTTTAGATCTAAAATCATTTCTATTCTAGTGTTGTTCTTATAAACTTATCATTTCCAATTTTTTAAGTTGAATAGACAGTTTTTTTTTCATATAGATATCACTATAATATTATGAATTGTCATTAATTTTTTGATTTTGTAATTATATATTAATGTTCATTAAACAAATATTTCCGATGCCTTAACTATTCAATAAATATATTATATATAGGTGAATCTTATATTATATACTATAATATTTGTTAAAGTTGTAAAGTATTAGGAAAATAAATTAGAATAAAATTGCTTTAAAGTAGGATGTCGACTATGTAATAATGTTTTGAACTCGGAGCCATTTACGCACTCTTATAACTAATTTTATTTGCGCTTATTATTTTTGACTTAAAACAACTTTTGCCTATAACACGTTTGACACTCGCTCACTGGAAGGAAAATCGCTCTATCTCCGAATACAGAAAAACCTACGGCAAGTATTTTTGATAACAGCCCCTGAGGTGAAAATGCATAATTCGGTCTCCCCGAAGTTTATCTCCCCACACGATTGTCCAAAGATTAAGAGCTGAGGTAAATGTGGCCTTCTTCTTTAACGTACGTGCGAGAAAAATAAGAAAAAATCGCCTATCCCACTACAAAAATCCCATTATGTGATCACACGATTCAAAATACGCCACATGCTAGAAGCCCTAATGCCAAGGGATCGTAAGGTATTTTATAAGATATATAAAGAAAAATGGTTAATGCGCCTGCGCTGATATCCTTAGATTTTTTCACATTTTTAACAATGTAGAATTATAAGCTACCTAGGTGTCGTAAATTATTCAGAACTCGTTGTAATCATTCGCTCGTTACATCTAAATTTGTTGATAAAACCACCTCTGATTTCTCTCTCTCTCTTGTTAAAACCTCCTCTGTTTTCTCTCTCTCTCTCTCTCTCTCTCTCTCTCTCTCTCTCTATCTATCTATCTATCTATCTATTTATCCGTATGTATGTATGTCTGTCTGCCTGTCTGTCTGTGTGTCTGTCTGTCAACCTGTGTATCTGTGTGTCTGTCTGTCAACCTGTGTGTCTGTCTGTCTACCCGTGTGTGTGTGTCTGTCTGTCTGTATGTCTGTCTGTCTGTCTGTCTGTCTGTCTGGGTATTGTTTGATTTACGCAAGTATTAGAAAACAATTTATCGGTTTAAGATTACATACAAATCAAGCACTATTATATTTTATTTTATACTTCAAAGACGCTTCAATATTAATTTCAATTTCTTTTTCTTTAATTTCATTATTGAGAATTCATAAAATAATATTAAAAAGTTTTAATAAAACTTTATATACCGAAGAAGAAAAATAATAAGCAGAAATAAATTTTCATAAAAATTAGAATAACTAATCCTTCTGACTTATTATGTAAAGGTATATAATTTAAAAATCTACTTTAATAAATTTTTAGTCTGTCGAAGAAATTTAATTTAAATTTAATACTTTTACTAAATCCTGCACAGTCAAAGAATATTTTACAATTTTATTTCAATATGTTATTAGTGTTTCCTTAAATATAAATATTTATATAAAATAAATTGTATTACTTCATTTAAAGACATCATAAATAAATATTTAAGTTGAAGTAAATCTTTGGGCCGAATGGGAAATTATTGATCAATGAGCGCAATAAGCTCAATTGAAAGTAAAATACTTGAAAGTAAACTTGTACGATATAGCCATTTACCAACGAGTAATTACAGTATTTTTAACGTATAAAGTATTATTCTCAGGAATCTCTTAAGTTATAGAAAATGTGATAAAAGATTATTGAAATTCTATCTTAATTATCCCTTTTAAATCCGAAGAATATCTTTCAAGGAAGCTTCGAGCAAAGTTCACTTTTAAAATTCCCATCGATAATAATCATCCTTTTTCTCTGAAAAACTGTACAGGTAATCCTTTCTTTCATAATTTTTTAAACTCAAGTAGGGAAAATAGCCCGCAATTGGCAAAAGTCGGTAGGGGAAACAAACTTGTATTGCCGAAAGGACCGCTAAAGGAGGAGCAGATAAAGAAAGATAGTCGATAATCTTTGTGCGACTTTTAGCAGTCGGCCGTCATGTTAACAGAACTGAAATTGGATTCCAGTTCAGAATAACGGCGGAAATTGGCTTTGGTCGGAGATGGCTTTTTTCCGACTTCCGCCAATCAGGTGCTTTGTTACCGCTAAACCTTACGCGTGACGGAACTTTCATGAAAAACGTTTATTAAAACTTTTTACTAGGCGATCGAATATTCTCAGTAAGTCGCTGATGATTTTCATTTAGGAGCATTATTTTTTGCACGTTTAGGTTGTTAACAACGGTTGAACCTCTTTGGTCACTCGATGCATGAAAACGTCTGCGTAGATAATAGGTAAGGAAATCGTGTATAATATCTGATAGGTTCCAATTTTCATGATAAACTACATTTGAGAAACTATATGTTTTATAGTTTATGTTGATATCGATTTTTTATTTAAATTCATGCTTTAAATATTTACTTCTTTATATATATCAACTGAAGAATAAATAATTAATTAAGCAATGATTTATCTATCGGAATAAATTCACAATCCACTTAAAGTTTAATAACGGATCAAAAATTAATTTGAAGTCTTGATTAAATATCTAAGTGAATGAAATTTAGTTCTTGTATTTAAACTCGAAGATATACAAATTCGGGGATATAAAATAAAATGATTTATAATTTATGATAAAAAAACAAATATTGTGTTCTTATATAATATATTAATACCATTAATAAAAATAAATTATTAATTTTATTATACGTATTTTTTAATAACTATTCCGTATTAGAGTTGTAATAGAAAAGTGAAAATTATTCAGAATAATAGACAGTATACAGGGCTAAAAAAGTGAAAAAGTAAAGTATAATATAATTTCTTTATTAATTTAATGATGTTTTTCTTAAAAGTACACATCTAAAAATATCCGATTTATGTTTGAGAAAATATCTATATTGGGTAAATAATCAAGTGACGAAATTTGATAAATATCTAACGACTCTTCATGAAAGTAATAAGGATACTAGTTATATAGGTCTCGAGCGAACAATTTCTTCATTGATCAACTACTTTTATAATTACGTTATACTCAGGTCTAATTCTTTCAATGGCTTTAAAAACTTCTGTCGTTACTAAGTAAGTTTAGTATTAGGTGCATAATAAAGCAAATGGAAAGATAATGGAAGGCCTTTAAAGCTTTCTTATTAGCAAGATTAACATTAGCCAAAATACGACAAATGACAGATTGATAACTTGGCGATGCTGATGAAAACCTTATGTTTCAGGTTTCGTATCCTTCGACAATCAGGCATGCGCACAATCGGCTATCCAGGCGATGAACGGCTTCCAAATAGGAATGAAACGGTTAAAAGTTCAACTAAAGAGGCCCAAGGATGCCAGCAGGCCGTACTAACCCACGTCCGAGCCAAGACAAGCTTGCCGGGTCATGCCATATGTTATAACCTATAAAGTATGTTTAACTTGCCATTTACCAATATAACCGTTAAACTGCTGTTTCATTTATTGAAAACGAATTTTGTCTGATTTAAAAGATTGAAAAAATTAAATTGCAGTCTAGAAATCTAGAGTGATAAGTAAATTATTTTCTTTAAATATAAATTGGATAATTATGTAAATTATAAAAGCGCAAGTAAAACAATATTAATAAAATGAAAAATATGCAATTTTGCAGATATCGCACGAAAATATGAGTTCACTGGATACTCGGACATAAGAATGAAGAGTTTGAACCACTGCTACAACGCTTTCAACCGTAAATATCTAGTATACTAGTTAGTTAATTTTATAGGATTAAAAGAAGATTAAAAATATAGAGGTCATAGTAACAAGAAGAAGGAACTGTTACTAGAATGAGGACAACTGTGATAGGACACCTCATAACTACTGCATCAATGATGAAAGAGCAAAGAATTTCTTTAAAATTGAGCAAGAAAAAAACAAATAGCAAGTATAAAACTAAACGACTATATAATGAAAATTAAGTAAGAGATACAAGAAGGATCGAAAGGTTTGCAGAACTAAAAAAAAATACATACTGCTCTTTACGTTCGAAGTACCTCTAGTCAAAATACTTAATAATAATAAATAAATAATGTGCAAAAAAGAAGGAAGAACTTATGTCTCCCGTCTGAACTGTTAATGAGATTCTCGCTTAGCAGTACGGATATATTTTAAGGAAAGTATGCCGTTGCATGCACATACATAAATGTACACACGGCGGAATATATAAATATATAAACAAGACAAAAAAATAAAAGAAATGCCCCGTTCGGAAGTTCTTATTAAGGTATAAGTCCTATGAAGAGAACAGGTTATATAGAACGAGACTGGACCGAAATCGATGTAATAATCGGTGACGATTGCATTACACGAACGTTTTGTCTTTAATGAGTCACGCGACTATGAATTAAGTGAACAATCTCTACGATATCTAGCGGCAACGGGACGAATTGTAGAATCCACGTCAAGTCCGATTACGAGTAATAATACAACACAAAATAAAATCTAAACATTTGCGTCTGACTATTATGGAAGATCTAAATCTACGTAATACTCGTAAGCACATTTGTATGTGGGACAATGTTCATTTGATTCATTGATAATTGATTTTGAGTTGCATCGTCTTATTATCTAGTCACTAAATGCATGGAACAGTGACATTATTACTAAGCATATACATAGTAACAAATAGCATTGAATAAACGGGAAAATAAAAAACGAGTATATACCGATAAAACACTTATGCTAATTCTAGTCACATTAATCGGTTAGGTATAAATCAAGACGGAATTATAAAGAAAATAGAGAAAATCGTAGAGCTCCCATGTGATGATTAATTAATGTTGTGGGGTAATTATTTCGATCCGATCCACACTTCTAGATAATATACGTACATTGCGGAAAGCCACGATAAAAAATGGAAATACTATATGATTTATAATGCCACGATGAATTGAAGGAAGAACCGCTATGGAATCTTCTTTCGTGGAAAATCTGGCGTTCATTAAGATTCTAGTCCTTGTAAAGATCACTCGTGACAACTAAATTTTCTCACTATCGATTAGCTGAGAATACACTATATAGTATACATAGTTAAATAAAGGTGATGTGTTTATTTAAAACAGTACGATTTATCGCACCGAGCGAGTACGTAAAACATTCGATATGTCATCAGTGAATCCGTGTCGTGTATTTCCGTTTAATTTATAAACGAATCACATCTGTCTGTCGTGAATGTGCGTGATTACTCAACTATTCACCATGATCGGCGAATCGGCGAAGAAAGAATTCAAACAACGCTCGTTCTGAATTTTTCCTTTAAACTGTATGCTGATCTTCGGAATGCCAAATAGGCTGTGATTTAAAGAAAAAAATTATGTAAAATTATAACAAAGAAACAGTACTTCAATATTAGAGGTATATAACAGAGAGGTTATCAGTGTAAACATAACCTTATCGTCACAGCGGGTGCCATACTGTCAAATATATTATAATCTAATTGATCAAGCTCCCTGGCACCTGCGAATAAAATTTAGCCCTTTACTAGAGTTTTGTACTATAATCGAGAATTTTTCTATAAATGGGCACTGTTATTCGCGGAATTACTATCTGTGGCACTTGCCTGCGCTAAATATAAGGTTATGGATATTCTAAAACCACTTGATTATATGTGATATGAATGAGATTTTTTAATATTATAATTGCAACAATAGAAAGTAAAGCTGTTTTTGGGTCTCCAAGTTGTATTTCCATACATTATATGAATATATAAATTGATTGAGTCAGCAGCTCAAAGTATCAAATCAATATTAAAATTTTATATAAAAAAAAATTCTGGTACAAAATGTGAGCGCACTAACATCAACTAGAAATACTTAGCTCATTACCTCCATAAATCTTACTTGGATTCGAGACTAGAAATGAAAATAAAAAAAAAATTAATTTCAATTTATAAAAAGAACGGCTGACTCAAGCTTCTAAGTACATTAGTTTATTATAATCTGTGAAACACGTAAGAGGCGATAATGCACGTACAGACAGATGCAATCGGTAAATACGCATCAAACGGGAAAAAAATTATAGATAAATAGAGAAAAATCATTTTTGACATACGAATGCTGTGACACGTACCGCTCGATGACGAAAAAGACAAAACAATGTTAGATTTACGGTAGGAAGCGAAGTGGTTCAAAGTGTGCGAGTAAAGATCATACGCACTTCATGTTTCTTCGAGAATACAAATAAAAATAGTCACGAAGAAAAACACATTATATAATCGTAAATTTTAGCTAAAAAGTTACACAAGAATAATAGAGAATGGTATAAATGCGAAGAATCAACCAAAGTACCAATTACTAATATTACTATTATTATTATTATTATTATTATTATTATTATTATCATTATCATTATTATCATTATCATTAGTATTATTATTATTATTATTATTATTATTATTATTATTATTATTATTGAAAGACATATATTATAAATATATATATATATATTTATTATGAATATATAAAAATAATAATAATACATTGATTCTGAAGATAACTAGCGACTTAGTAAATTATTATAGTTTTAGCTCAATTCACATTACTAAATTTAATACTTGGTGAAAGTGGAAAGCAAAAAATAGAGCATGAATGATGATACGGAATCAGGTACAATGGCTAAAGAGGTGATATTTTGCTTGTTAAATTGTTTTGATCGCAATTATTTAGAGTACAAAATTGAGAATCCCAAGCACGTTTTTTTGTGCAATATTATTTATATTCAATTTGTGATGAATAATATCGTTTAGATTCGCCTATTTAACGAGAAATGAATAAAACAAATAAATTTGACCATTTTATATACTTTTATACTTTTAAGCTGATATCTTTTTTAGAGAAATTTAAAAAGACCATTCCAAGAATCTAAATAAATTTCATAATTGTTTTTTTTTTTTTTTTTTTTTTTTTAATTGAAATAAACGAAATAATCTTACAGCAGGCATAAATTATATGCAGTGATGAAAAATTGTAATTTAAAAAGATATTGTAAAAAAACTTATTTTTCTAGTCAGTGTCTACAATTACTCTAAAATTTATCGATAATATTTATTTTCACAAAAAAAACAAAAAAAAAGAAATAGTTCTCGATAGATACAGTATCTATATTATTAATACAACTTGTCGAATCGAAACGATATTTTTTTTTCACAGTAATTATTCAAAAGAAAAATAGCTAATAAAATAGAAAACGTTGATTCGAACGTGCAAACATAATTATCGAGCGAACCCGAATTTCACGAACGACTACCGTGAATTGCGATTCAAAGGTATAATGTTTAAAAGGTAATAAATCATAAATAATACAGATTACGTTATCCATATACATATTGTACACTATATATAGTAGGAGAGCGCGAACGCGACGCGCGATATTAATTTTTTTAATAGGACGTTTCAATCGAACGTTGTGCGAATGACGACAGGGAATCGATAATAATTTGAATGTATGGAAAACAGAACAATGCTTGAAAAAATAAGCAATGAAAGTAAGTGGAAAAATCATATTTTCTTTTGGTAATCATTGTACTGATGACAGATGCAGAAGTTTAGCAAACCTATGTTAATTGTATACTTAAGATTTTGAAATGAAATTTTCTCTCCATGGCTTTAGGTAAATTTAAATAAATTCTAGTACGCCAAGCATTTTCCTTCCTTCTAGCAGCATTAAGAGTGACTAATCGTTTTCATTATGGAATCTTATTTCCAGGAATTTTCAATTGAATTAAATTTTATATTTTTAATAATAAATTTCGATCCTTCAAAAATACGTGCCAATGATCACAAATTTAATTAAATTCAAATTAATTTTAAATAACTTATGACGCTTAAATATATCTTATTCTATTAAGAAATATCTATTTAATGGTAAAAGTTGAAAATGAATAGAATAAATCATTGATTACTACTATAACTCAAAACAAAATTTGATTTTTCATTTAATTTTAAATCTTCTGGCATGGAATGAAGAAAGAATAGATTTAAAAAACTATTAAAGAAAACAAGTAGCTTAATTTAATTCAAGAAATTTACGATTAAATAATTCAAACTTATGTTAATATTGATCTGCACTTACGGCTTTATAGTCATAAACACAAATTAAACGAATATGACGAAATAACAATTCGATAAAAATATAAGAACATAAGTTGTAAAAATAAAAGAATTCGAACAAAAATTTTAAAGAAATTTAATACATAAATACAATATGGTATTGCATTATATAGTTAATATATAAATTGCATGTAATCTTATGATTTTTAGATAATTAAAACACGCTAAGCGATGAACTTCTTAGAAAGCAACATGTTAAAATCATATAATTAGAAAAATTATGAATGAGGACAATGAAAGTCATTATGGGGGTAATTTTTATTCTTAAAGAAAAATACTACTGATAAGAGAATGTATAATTAAATATTATCCATTAACAAAGTTTTTAACTGGGAAAAACTAAATTAATAAATAAACCAAACTGATATACTAAGTTTGGTATTATTTTATTATTAATCTAACAAGGTTTTTTGACCGAGAGTTTATTTCTTATAACATAAAAAATAATTATGCTAATTATATACTATATTTATAATTAATAAATATAAATATATATGTATATATATTAATTAATTTATTTATTTATTTATTTATTTATTTATTAATATACGATTAAATTAATTTATACATATAGATAATATCAAAATAAATATGACTTTTGTTCAGTACAGAAAAATTATATAAAAGACTATAAATGAAATTTGGAATAAAGAACAACATACTTCGTTACACGTTATGGCAAAATTTAGTTTCGCCCAACAAAATTTTGATCGGTTAAATAAAATTAAATATGAATGATATTCAAACTTTT